TGGATCGCAAGATATCGTCGAAAAACATAAGTGCGCCACAATACCCCCCGCGCCATAATACCCATGGTTCCCTTATGAGAACGAAATTTAAGTTGTTTTAGAATTTTTTAGATCTTTAGAATTAAGGTAGGTTTATACGTATATACCCTAAAATTCCAATTAAGATTCCATTTACAGCATAGATATTTCGTATGAAGTACATATGTACCACTATGTTCAACGAAGTTTGAACCAATTTTAAAAACATTAGCCATTTGAAACTGTAAAGAATCGTTTACAGCTGTTTTCAGAATTTACTATTTTCAGAGATCTCTGAGATATTTCGATTTCGCTCTAAGGATCATAAATTCTCCAGAAATTATGTTAACCATATTTAAAACATGGTCCAAAGACAGGCACAATTTCCGAAGAGGTGGATGTTTCTTAACACCGGACCAGAGGAAAAGGACTATGAAAATGACTATTATTTTATGCTGGGATTTTGTGATGATGTCCAATTGATAAGTTTCTGATGTTTCTGATGCTGGTAGAAATTGTAAACGTCATCGGCAATTTCCTATGGTTGTTCCAGAAATTAGGGAAATAGTTGTAATTATTTGTTTATCCGAAACACTAACCAGTATTGTTTTGCAGAATGGATCCGCAGGTGATCGTTTAAAATCTCGGTAACAAATAATTATTTAACTATCTTATCAGGATGGATCCCTTTCAGATCCATTTTTATACTGATTAATGTTAATATGTACTGTAGTTACTTATCATTATCAAAAATTTAAGAAAAAGTTACCGAGATTTACCGAGATTATAAAGCAACAGCTATCATGATAAGTAATCAACATTTCACCATTTTATCTTATTTGAAGGTCAATACAGCAATAGAATAAGAATTATATTTACAGGACTACATGTCATTCATCTGTCCTGATAATAAACAATGGTTGTGGGATTCGATTATTTTATTAGCTCGAAAAACTATTTAAGTGGATTAGCAACAGGTGAATAACATCATAATTACGTAATAGAAAGAGTACCCGGGTAATTTTAGCTTATAACTTATCGTTATCTGATGTAAATTATAACGTCATACGTAGAGATAGTGTTCAAAAAGCATATCACTAATTATGTTACTTACAGGTTACATGCCTTTAAAGGACTAAGAAATCGGGAATGGCTGAAGCTAAATTCTTTAAACACATGATGAGTATTATGGATCCTTACAGGAGTTACTCCTTTTATAGGTTTTATCTTTCAGCCAACAAATTACGTTTAATAGGACCATTGTTACACTTGATCGAATAATATTGACAGTATAGATATATTGATATGTATTATATCATCTGAAAAATTTTCCGGTTTTCAAATTTTTTTTACAATCTTTTCGGACAGTACGTATAATTTCTCAGTTTGATGGAAATTGAACGTTTCGTACGTACGTACGTACGTAGATGAAGAACCTTCCATGCACAAATAAATAGACCCAATATTTGATGCATATATATTGATGCACAATGATAAGATTTGGCAGATACTGTATGTCGATCGATGTCATCATATTATTAAAATCGCACAATATCGATAAATTCTGTATTTAATTAGCGGCCATACAAATTTATTAACCATGACATCTAAAGTTAGCTGCGAAAATATTTTTCCCTCACTGTTTCACTGCAATAAATCTAATTCCTGATGTGTCACACCTCATTTAGTTTAATGATCTATTTTCTCTACGTAGAGGTTATTCTTTTGGCGTTTTTTTTTTTATATTTGGCAATAATTAAATATTTTGTTAATAAAATATTGAATTAAATATTGAGATCAATAATACTTCAATATTGTGACCAATACAATTTTTATCATTGAAATCAATATTAGTCTTAACTAACATCGAGAATTAATATTAGCGTATATAGTGTTGTATTGAGATTAATGTTAATACAGTAATATAGTATTTAGATAAATACATACTGTATTAGTCCCAATGTTGATAATTAAATATACGTATATGATTATTAACAAAAAATTATTAAAAATTTTCCCAATTATGTATCGGTATATATAATCTTAAAAAACAAAAAATTAATATCGATACGTAAGAACGCCCGCCTTAAAATTTTAATAATATAAAATTGTATTTAAAAAATTGGTTTAACGTTAATTTCAAAAAAATAAATTTTGCAGTACATTACACTTGTATCTAACTGGTCAAAAATCTCAAAAATCACGGGATTGCTGATTTTTTATATGGTAACTATTGTACGTGACGTAATGAAATGCATTTACGTACGTACGTTAAAACTGTAGGAAAAACATAAAGTAAAAAATTTAGTTTTTGACAGACAATTTTAAAATCCTACATAATAACTTCTAAATAAATTTTTTTTGACTATTTTTAAATAAAATGTTATTATACTTTATTATTATTGCATTTTAGTTTTTTTAAAAAAATATATTTTTTTTAACTGTTATATATATATATATATAGAAACTTGTCACATTCCATTTCACGTAAAATTAGTAATGTAGATAATGTAGATCACTTGTATCTTTTAACTGCGGATCACCCCTTAAATGTTTTTTGCTGGAACGGCCAAATCACCTACTCGGTTTGTAAGTTCATCATACGAGTCATCTTCGACTAATGAAAGAAATTTCGCAAGCGCGCTAGATCCTGATCTTAATCGAGGAAGAGTTGGAACGTTGTTCGACGTGTCATCTTCCATGTTCTGTTCTAAGTGATAATGTGTTGTTGATTCTTGCTTCTTTGAATAGAATTGAATGTTGAATGCTGCGTAACCTCCTGATTTATCCAGCTTTTCCATAGCTGGTTCATATTTTTCGAGTTCTTGAAGTAATTCTTTATGTTTTTGTAACTCATCAAGATTTAAGAAATAATGCTCATCAGGCAGCGCTATGAATTGTTGTTGGATTAGATATTTCTATTACCGGTTGTATAAATGAGATAAAAAAAAAAAAAAACAATGACAAACAAAGGTGCAATATGACCTCGTTGAGTGAAAAAAACTAAAAAAAGAGTGCATGGTTTGTATATATCCGTTCAATACTATTGTGGTTACCATTGTCAAAAGCTTCCGAGCTGCTGTATCGCTATTCTTGGTAATAATGAAATGTAAAGGAATTAAATGATTGATTTTTGCGTACAACGGAATTAGGTCCGCCATGATGTTTGAATACTCGGCCTTTTGTTGTTTGGAAATCTCTTGAATTAACGTGCGTTTGACTGTGATAAAATTTATATTGGTTTCTTTGTAAGCTAAACATACTTAATTAATTAAATGCTTATTAAGCTCTTACTTTCGGCATTTCGCACTTCATTGTCGATTTCGGCGACTCTTTGAGAGGCTTGCTGAAGTTGCTCGGCACTAACAATTAGCACTGTTTGAAAAGGACTAGGTAGTATAGTAAAAGAAACCGCAGATGGGTCAGATGCATTGGAATAAGAAGTAGGCTTTCTCTTTTGAATAAATGTCATTATAACGCGTTTTATCTTTTAAAAAAACAAATACAAAGTCAAACGAAAACTCATGCAACAATTTTCATTATTAAAAGTCCTGCAGATATATAAGATAAGTGATCAGTTGTAGACGTTACACGGAACACAAACTGATGAATCGATAAGATACCGATAAGAATGTACCCGACTCTCCCCCCCTACTAGCTTATTGTAAAAATTGTATACGATTGACTATACTTCGCAGTCATTTTTCGATTATCTTCTTTTTAACTATCAATCACCAATTTATTGTATGTACGTACGTACGTATGTGTACGAATCTTATTGTGGTGCATTTTTTATAATTAATTTATACAAATTTTTGAGTCAAATACGTGTACGTATGTATATATATTATATCGATATATATCGATATATATGTATATTAAGCATATGTATTTAAACTGGTATACCCCCCTTCTCCACCAATGAGATCACTGGATTCGTGAATAGTACCTGGTACTACGTATTCAATTTAACGTTAAGTTTTTGAATACGTAAGACCCTGGGTACGTACTGTATGTAGGCAGTGGCAAACTATATAATAAATATATATATATAGATATATATGTTCGTATATATATTTGTATATGTATTAATTAATAAATTTATACGTAAATTTATACGTACGTACGTATTAGCAATTTATCTAAAAAATTATTATGTATAAATTTGCTTATAAGGTCATAAAAAAAATTTTTTGGTTTTCATAATCCGGCCGGGTCAAAATTTGAAAACTTGTAAAAAAAAATTTTAATAACCGGGCGGGTTTTTTAAAAAAATTTATATATAAAATTTGAAAAAAAAGGTCGCCAGCCAGGTCTGTTTAAACAGTTTTATGTTATGAAAACCAAAAAAAATTTTTGTATAGCCTAATTTATATTTTTTAAAAATTAAAGATAGAGGATATTATTTATTAATATAAATTATATATAAAATTAATAGTACTTTTATTTTTTATTTTTTTTAGTTTATTTTTCCTTTCTAATTTGGCTATCTTGTCTTTGTTTATTTTAGGTTCAAGTCAATTCAAAATTATATTAATTTTATTACTAGATTATAGTAGGTTTAACCAAATAAAGGTTTGTTCATATGATTTTATACACCAGATGTGATATACTTTAGTAGCTCTTGGCCTTTTTCTGGGTTCTTAATTTACTAAAAACTTTTTTTCTGTTGTTCATTAGCTGGCAGTTACACTGTTATATCAAAAAGCAAAATAAAAAAGTAAAACATAACAAACTAAAAAAACACACAGAGGTATAGAGGACTATAGTAAAAATATACAAATATGAAAAAAAGAGGTAAAGAAAATATTAAAAACAAAACAAAAATAAAATAATTTTGCCTATTCTAATATTATTATTATAAGCTTATAGATGGTTTAAAAAAATTATATACTACTAGCAGTATTGGCACTTAGTATATATTTATATTTTTTAAAAAATTTAGACTATATCCAAACCTATATATCCATATTCATAAATTATTATATCTATATTTATCTATATTATTTTTAATAAGTTCAAATATTCATATTGCTTAACACTAATTACTAAACAAATTAGTTTTTACTTTTATATTTATTTACTTAGTATATTAAAATAAAAACTATTTAAAAAAACTTTATTGATCAGTATAATTGTAGAAAAGTCAAAGTAAAGTTTTAGAGTATTATTTGTATAGATACAGTATTTATTATATTTGAAGCATATGTATATACTGTATATGTTTATTGTCATATTCTAATTTGAAAGATAAATAATATTAATTTGTTTGGTATATATAATATCAAATATTTGAAGAAGATAAGCTAAAATATTCACTTTTTACAAAATTTTTTTAAAAAAAATAATAGACCAATGAGAATATATAAAGTTTTTCTTGTAAGTTTTACAAATTATATAGTCTAGCTTCTCTATTTCTATTAATTTAGAAGTGTATATTAGCTATTTTTACAAACTTGTTCTCAGAATAACCTTCTAATTTAGATGCTGAATATCTTAGATCAGTAACATATATTTT